CTCTCTCTCTCTCTCTCTCTCTCTCTCTCTCTCTATATATATATATATATATATATATATACTATATTATAAAGCATTTGGCAAAATCTCTTAAAACTCTTAAAAACTCTTAAACCCGTTCATCCCTATCCGATTTCATCCCATACTACATGTTATATAACATATATTATGTCTACTATAAAAACTCATATCATAATATTGATGTATATCTATATACTATTTTATAAAGTATTTAACAAAAACTCTTAAAAAATATTTTTAGCATGAAGTACTATTTACTGATTCATATTACTTAAAATTCAATATTATAAGTAAATTATGCATAAGTACAACTTATTAAAGCTTCATGTTTGAATTTGTGTAACTAACTGCATATAAACATAATCAAATAGAATATAAATATCTCATTTTAAATATATAAAATCTATAAATATAATTAGGATAATTATTGAGTTTTAACAAAATATTTTATTATTATAATACTTATAAAAAATATATTATTAAATAGAAAAATGAATTAAAGAAATACACAAAAAACGAAATAGTTAGTTTCGTATTAATATCAATATTTTCGTTTTCAATTTTTTATGATATATTCATATTTATATTTTATTCAGAAATAAAAACATTATTGTTTTCCCAAAACCGCATAAAACCGTATTATAACATCAACTGAGACAAAAAAATGAAACATTAAAATCGAGATGTATAGTATCAAATAAAAATCTTCTCCCTCACTTACCGGGTAAGATTATCAGTATTGTAATGTCTCTTATCAAATAAATTCTCAATACTTGACATACTCACCCAGTAAAATAAATGACATCTAATAAGATTTGGTAAATGGCCTTTTAGATAAATAACGAATGAGCTTATGTAATGTACCCATGATATCTTACTTTGCTTGTCATTAAGAATCGGAAAAAGATATAAACACTAACATATATATATATATATATATATATATATATATATTATAAAACATTTAACAAAAATTCTTAAAAACTATTTTTTATGCATGAAATACTGGATATTGATGCATATTACTTAAAATTCAAGATTACAAATAATTTTTTTTGCATAAGTACAACTTATTAAACTTCATGTTTGAATTCGTGTAACTAACTGCGGATAAACATAATCAAATAGAGGATAAACATACCATTTTAAAATATAAAAAATCTAAAATATAATTATGATAATTATTGAGTTCTAACAAAATACTTAATTATTAAACTAAATATAAATAACTCGTTATTGAACCTAAATTAAATTATAATAAAAAAATTGAATTAAAAATTACACAAAAAATAGGAAGTTTAAATAGTTAATTTGACAATAATATCGATACATTTTTGTCAAATTTTAATGATATCTTCAAATTTATATTTTATTCAAAAATAAAAACATTATCATTTTTTCAAAATCACATAAAACCATACTATAACATCGACTGAGATAAAAAATAAAATAAAATATTAAAATCAAGATATATCTCGTTGCATTGCGCGAGTACCCTTCTAGTTATATTATAGACTTAATCATTTGAGAATTTCATATATTATGTAGTGTTTTATATAAATTTTTTCATCTAAAACTAGAATTTAATATATTGATTAATATATATTTGTTCCGCAATAATTCACAATATGAAACTTTTTACTTGTACTTTTTGTTTCACAAATACATAAAAATGTTCATATTGTGAAACAAATATATATTAACCAATACATCAAATTCAAGCCATAAATAGAAAAAATTTATGTAAAATAGCATGTGATGCACTAGTTCTCAAGATTATTACAATTTTAATTTTCCCAAATGAAGACCCTTTATTATATTATTTCTTATAATATAATATAATATTATATATATATATATATATATATATATATATATATATTAGAGAGAGAGAGAGAGATTGGTTATTATACAATCCATGACATTTGTGCAACCAATACAACTCAATCTCAACTGTCCATTCCATTTGATTAATATGTGATTTATGTAAGTTTTGATTGTTTCCTAATATAAAGTATTAATCATAATTAATGAACCATATTCATCTTTCATAAATATTCAAATCATAATAAATAAACTCTCATCATTTCCATAAATATCTCAATTTATTGGATTGCATTGGTTGTACAAATGTAACAGATTGTATTTGAAACAAACTCTCTCTCTCTCTCTCTCTCTCTCTCTCTCTCT